AGGCAACCAATCCATGTGTCTCTTGTACATTGATATTTCTCTCCCTTTCTTCCTCCCTTCCCCTCTCTCTAAAGATAAATAAAAAAAAATTAAAGATAGCTGAACAGACACATAAAACAGACAGTTACACTCGATGGCCAAGTACTCAGACAGACAGACAGAGAGAAAAATCAATAGACAAAAAATAGGAACAATTAGACAGACGCTCCAGGGTCTGCTGCAACATCCCCTCGCCAGCGAGGGACCCTCCGCTATCATGCCCCTGTGCTATCATGCCCCATCCATAATGATGTCCCCTCATCCAGCTAGTCTGCTTTCCCGCCTTCCGGAGGTCCTCACCCCAAGGGACCTGAGACCCCACAGGAAAAGGGCACTGAGGTCCTGTTCCACGGCACACCCGCCAGGGCTAAGGTGACTTAAAACAATACAGATGTATTATTGTTACCAGACAGGGCTCTGAGTGGGTCTGCCTGGGGCCAGCCGGCAGGGTGGGTTCTCGACTTTGGTGGGAAAGATTTCACGGCACCAGCCCAGGTGACTATGAGGGTGCAATTTATTAAAGTTGGGGACAGTGAAACAGGGGAGGGCTTAGCATAGGAGAAGGAACGGGAGAGCCCAGGCGGGGCTGCCTTAGCTCACTGGGAAGTCAGAGAAAAGGGGGCCTTGGGGACGGGTGCAGGGGATTAGCCTGGGTCGAGCTGCCGCTGCCCACTGTCCCCTGGTTGCCAGTCCTGTGGGGACCCTCAGCATTTAGGAGACTCTGCCTGCGGGGGAAGGAGGGGGGAAGGGATTGGCGTAAGCTGCTCCCCAGAGAGGGAGCCTGCACACTGTATTGTTTGCCTTGAGTTGTTCTCTCTCTCTTGCAGGTGGAATCTTAGGAGAGGTCTCAGGGGAAGGGTCAGTGGAATATTCATCAGTTTTCCAGGTGTGTTCTTTCATTTCCGGGTCCTGGCCTCCACCCATTGGTCAGCGCCAGGGCAGGGGGTCCTTGTCACTGCAGTTGGTCGCAGCGTGGCGTGGCCTGTCTGGTTTTGCTGCTTTTCTGGGCCTGCAGCTGCGGTGCAGCTGAGGCTGAGATGTTATCTCCGGGGAGGTGACTTTCCTGCATCTGGCTGTCAATCGCTCCGCCACTGTGTTCAGCTCTGTGTCCATTTCCCTGTCCCACCACCAAGGAATGTTCCTAGCTTCTTACTGCCCTGCCTCCTTATGTTCCAGTTCTGGTGACTCAGATGCTCTAAAATGGTCCACAGGGCTGGTTCCATCTGGCAGCTCCAGGGGAGGGTCTTCTTGTCGTTCCCAGCTGGGTGAGGCCACCGGCGCCCTGGCTGGTGGCGGCCTCCTTCCACCTTCCGCACCAGGATCTTCTCTCTCTGTCTGACTCATCTTCCCACTTTCCTCTTATAAGGACTCTTGTGAGGACGGAAGCTTCTCACAAGACTCAATCTCACCTGGATTCCCGGGGATTATCTTCCCATCTCGAGGTCCGGATCTGATGCACATCAGCAAAATCCCTTCTATCACGTGTCTGGTATTTGCAGGTTTTGGGGGATTAGGGCAGAGACATCTCTGGGGGACACTTATCCAGCCGACTACAGTCCTGGAGGATGCCCTCTGTGCCCCATTCTTTTTTTTTTTTAATATTTCTTTTATTTATCTTTAGAGGGAAAGGGAAGGAGAGAGGGAAAGAAACATCAATGTATGGTTGCCTTTCGCGCGTCCCCTGCTGGGAACTGGCCTTCAGGGAACCGGCCTGCAACCCAGGAATGTGCCCTGACTGGGAATCGAACCGCGATTGTCTGGTTCGCAGGCCCGTGCTCAATCCACTGAGCTACACCAGCCAGGGCTTGTGCCCCATTCTGGTCTCCTCTCTCTCCAGTTAGAATGGCTTCAGGGTTTTGCCCGAAATCCAAATTATTCCCCATAAATTACCTCCTTCCTGCTATTAAAAAAAAAAAAAAGGCGCTGGCTGGTGCGGCTCTGTGGATTGAGCACCAGCCTGAGAGCCAAGGGGCTGGCGGTTTGGTTCCCAGTCAGGGCACATGCCTGGGTTGCGGGCCAGGTCCCCAGTGCGGGGCGTGGGAGAGACAACCCCACATGGGTGTGTCTCTCGTTCTCTTTCTCCCTCCTTGCCCCTCTCTCTAGAGATATGTAAATGAAATCTTAAAAAAGAAAAAAGCAGCTTTTAGGACCCCTCTAAGTGCCCTGGTGTCCTGCCCTGTTTTCAGGGGACATTTATACATCCGATGGCTGTTTCCCGTGATATCCCCAGAGTCCTGCGCTAATGATCTCTGGTCTATGCCCACCAGATCCCCTGGGGTCCTGTCCCCAGGTCCCCGTGGGCCAATAGAAAGCAATAGAAAGCCCACGGCAGGACGGGTTACTCATCTGCGGGCCGCTGGTTCCAATTCCTAGACGATTCAAGCAGAGTGTTAAACCCAACCACGCAGCTGCTCAGCCGTCTCGGCCCCCGGGGTGGCCGAGCGTGAACGGCCGGCCTCAGGCGGATCTGAGTTCCACTCCTCGAAATCTCCACCTTGATGTCTACCCCTCCCCTCAGCACCTGCACTATAGCGCCCCCTACTGATGCTGAGCGGCAATCACACCTGAACGCAAAATCAAATCGTGCCTCTTCCAGGTGGGCATCTCTGAGCCTTGATTTCTTTATCTGTGAAAGGGGGGCAACTATGCCTACCTCAGCAGAGAGGCTTCAGCAAGCCAAAGGTTTGGCCCAGCACAGAACAATAGCACCTGTTCCCCTAAACTACCTCCACATCCCAGGTTTCTGTGAAGATGCCCAGGGTGGCACCAGATTGGTCATCAGCTCTCAGGCCCGGGATCTGTCCTGCTCACTCTTGCATCCCAGCGGCCAGCACAGTATACAGTTGTTGAATGAACGAAGGCAATAATGAAGGGCCCTGGCCGGTTTGTTACGCCCCTAAAATTCTTCTAGAATGGCGCCAAGGTGCTGTTAGAACGTGCCGGCAGGGTCGACGCCGACCCACGAGACGATCTGCAGATCTCTCCTTATAACAGCAGATAGAGCTGCAACCTACTATAACGTCCGACGCCAGAGACTTCCCCACAATGGGCTCCGGGAAGTGCTTAAGTGCACACACAGAAGCCGTTCCCATTCAGCCACCCAGCCGCCCACAGCCCTCGGGACAAGTTGTGCGGAGGAGGGTGCCTGCTACACAGGGGCTGCCCTGGCTCTCCCTTCGGTCTGTACAGCTGGGCCTGGCTCTCACCGGACACCAAGGGGCTGCCACAGTGTCGGTGGGGCTGGCTGAGGCAGCATTTCTCCTGTGGCCCACTAGACAGGTGTGGGGCCATGGCACATTAACACACCCCTGACATGCCCTGAGTTCACATTCCAGGCCTGGGGCCTGCTTGTCCTCCTGCACCCAGGGCCCCCTATGAAAATGTGCCTGCGCTGTCTTTTCTGTCACTGGGGCCTCCTGTAAGAGGCGTGCAACAGAACATTCCAGAGGCATGCCAAAGCAGACTCAAGATCCTCTGACCTACTGCCAGGGCTTCCCATAATACGCCCAGGATTCCAGAGCGCGGGATGCCGCTGGGGCCGCCCACCCAGGGAGCAAAGGCGCTGGGGGGCGTGCTGCACCGGGCGCCACCGGAGCCTGCTCCGACGAGGTTCAGGGCTTGGGCGTGATTACTTCCCTCATATCACTTAGCAGAACCAGTTCAGCCCCACTCACACACGTGAACACGTCTCCTCCCCTGGCCGGGAGAGGGGGGGGCAGGGCGGCAAGAACCCATTTTACAGGTGAGGCCACTGAGGGAGGATCTGTGGTTGGGGGTGGGGCTCCCCTGCTCACGCTGCTCATGAGAAGCAGGGCTAGAGTTCAGGACCGAGCCTGGGCAGTCTTACTGCTCAGGTCCGTGGGTTCCTGCTCCTGGTCCCTGCTTCTGCTGACTGCGTGTCTTCTCCAGCTCGTCCAGTGAGATCGTGGAGACTTAACTTCCAAACCCTTTCATTCCCTCAAGCACTCATGTGCACAGCACCTGCCGCTCGTTCCAGGGACGCACAGCCCTGCCTGCCCTCCCGGCGCTGGGATTCCAGGGGCTCCCTAGGCCGACAGGTCACTACACACCCTTGCACAGCAGTCATACACGAAATCCACAAATACGCCATAAATAGGTCTTACCTGTCCTCGGAGAAAAAGCAGGGAAGGGGCATTGGGAGGGTCGGAGGTATTGCCAAGTGGAAAGGTTAGTGAGGGTCAGAGGCTAAGGAGGAAGGGAGCCAGGTGGGGCCTGGGTAGAGTGCTCAGGTGCGGGGCGCACCCTGAGCCGCGGCTCGGAGGGGCAGGTCTGGGGGACAGAGAGAGGGAGGGAAGGAGGAGGAGGGCCGCTGGGCAGAGGGCAGAGGGCAGAGGGCAGTGATCCCGAGGTAGGACTTGGCTTTCGCTGCCACCGGGCTGTCGCAGGTACAGTCACACTCTTCAACTGTCGGGGCCCAGAGGTCTCCTTGCGAGCTACCTGGCCCACCAGAGGTGCGCCCAGGGCACAAGAGGTGCCTGCACCACCCGAGGCTGGGGAGCCTGACCTGAGGCACTGCCCCAGAGACGCCCCAACAACTGCTGCGAGGAGACCAGGGAGCTGGGCTGTTGTTTTTGTAAACAGGGCGCCCCACCCTGAACGGAAGCACCTGCAGTTGGTGGGGGGGCTCCGGGGCAGCCTGGGCTCCCACGGGGTCCCGAGCCCCCTCCCGCAGGGTCTCTAGCCCTCAAGCCCGGGCGGGGCGGGCTTTGAAGGCTGAAATCCGGGCGGTGCCCCCTCCTGACCTGTCCCTGCCCCTTCCTGCCCACTTTGATGTGGCCCCACTTCCTCTGGCAGGAACCCCCGCCCTCGCAGGGTAAAAAGGAGCTGCTGGGCCCATTCCGTGGTGGCTCCCCTCTCCTCAGGGCCCTGTCTCCCAACCCTTGTACTAGTGGTGTGCCGCAGTCCCTGGTACAGGTATGGGGGGCAGGGACCTGGGGACCCCTCAGCGCCAGGCCCCGAGGGGCGAAGCCTGCGGCAAAGACTCCAGCACCTTCCTCCTCCTGTCGCCAAGCCTGCGCCACTGCTTGGGTGAGGGTCTTCCTTTCGCCTGCAGAAGTCCCTGCCTCCCTGTCCCCAGCCTTTCTCCTGCTCCCCCCCCCCCCCCCGTTCCTGAAATCTGACTCTGCCCCATCTGTGGTCTGTCCCTGTTCTGCGTCCAGCTGAAACTGACCTGGTGATGACACCCAAGGTCCCTGCCCCTTTTCCTTGGGTTCTTGCTTCTGACAGATTGCCTTCTGCTGTTACTGACGGCCCAGCCCTCCCATTTGCACTGTGGGGCCACCTCTCCCTAAACCTGCCCACCCGTCCCCACTGTCCCACCTCCTCATCAAGGCCCCTGCCTGCTCTGTCCCTCCCTGTCCGTCCCCTCCAAGGATGCCCTGCCCATTCCTGAGCAGCCCGACTGTGCTTCATCCTGGCTTCCTCATGCAACTTCCCCTCAAGGCCAATTTCCTCACTCATACTTGCAAAGGAAATTTCCAGAACCAGACCTGGAGCTCAGGTACTCACTGGGACTCCAAGCAAAGAGCTTGCCCCCTCAGATGAGGCTGCTGACGTGCAAATGGGAATGGCGGTCACTTGGGGACGGGACTCACTACAGGGTAAAGGGGAGCCCCTGCCCTGCTTCTCTGCCCCACTCCCCCACTTTGCTGACAGGAGGAAAGGCAGGTAAGTTTGAGGTCAAGGCCTTCTTAGTTCAGAGCTAGGCAGCTGTGACTTAAAGCCCCCCCAGCACCCCCCCACCCAGAGTGTGGCTGCTTCTTCCTCCCTCCCCAAGGCCAGAAAGGGCCTGAGAACCCAGGGGCCTCCGCCCTCACTCACTTCCTCCCCAGAGACTAGGGGGTTGGGGGGACGGGACAGTAGCTCAGTGACAGGTAGGTGACAAGGACCAAAATAGAGACAGAGAAGTGCAGCATCTTTAATACAGGTTGTCTTTGCCCACAGACCAGAGGGCAGGAGGCAGGATCTGAACCCACTCCCATCCTTCTGATGAAAAGTAAACAAAACAAACCCCCCCCCATCTTTCTTGTCAACCTAACTCAACTCTCAGAGACAACACCTCCCCCCAGTAAAATCACGGACAGAAGAGGAACCTGGCCCATGACTGAGAAAATAACTTTATTTTGTTTGGGGGCGCAGGCAGATCTCCAGTCTCAGAACTTCTGGAACTGCTTCTTGGTGCCGGCGGCCTTGGTGACTTTGAGCACGTTGAAGCGCACGGTCTTGCTCAGGGGCCGGCACTCACCCACTGTGACGATGTCGCCGATCTGGACGTCTCTGTGGACAGGGGCAGCGTCAGTGGTGCGCGGGAGGAGAGGGGCACTGGAGGCCACCCCAAGCAGCCCCCAGGGGAGAGTCTCCTTCATGGTCACCAGGCTGAGGCCCCCACCAAGCTCCCGGGTCCAGTTCCGGCTGCACCCTTGTCAGGGAGTGCAAGCTCTGGCCAAGGCACCGGGCTCGGCATGGGACAGCAAATGCTCTGACCCTTCCCGGGACCTCTTGGGGCAGATCTCTAACCGCCACCTCCGGTTTAGAGAACTGGAGGCTCCTGAGGATGGTGGCTTGCTCGTACCAGCCTCCCCACCCCCTCAGTTGCCCAGGGGGTCCCTGTTAATACCCACATCAGGTCCCAAGTCACTCAGACTTGAGTGCGGCCTGCCCCCTCCACTGTGACTGAAAGGGTGGCCAGCCCGGGCTGCCTGGGACCCACTGTGCTCACCTGAAGCAGGGAGACAAGTGCACTGACATGTTCTTGTGGCGCTTCTCGAAACGGTTGTACTTTCGGATATAGTGGAGGTAGTCTCGGCGAATGACTATGGTCCTCTGCATCTTCATCTTGGTCACCACACCTTGAGGGAGGGGACAGACTCTAGATCAGGCTTCCTGGGAAAGGGGGGGTACCAGCAGCCCAGGGCATGCAGGGAGCTGCTAAGCAGGTTTCTCCAGAAACTGTGCTGCTGGCATCAGTTCTGCCAAGTGGCTTTCTCAGCAGTGCCTGTGGCAGGCATCAGAAGACCATCGTGAAAATAGACATCACCTGCCAGGGCCCCTGAAATCAGAACCCAGGCCCCCAGGCAGCCCCACTTACCAGACAAGATGCGCCCTCGGATGGAGACATTACCAGTAAAGGGGCATTTCTTGTCAATGTAGGTGCCCTCGATGGCCTGAAGGGATGAGGAAGAGAAGTAAGGCTTGAACAGGTAGTCCCTGAAAAGAACGGGGGGGTGTGGCCCCAAGAAAAACTACAATTCCCAGCAGCACCCGGAGCAGACACTCAGGTGTGGGCGGGGCAACGAGAGCTAGGACCCACGTGCAGAGACCAGAGTCTCCTTCTGAGGATTCCCGTACCTCCTTGGGCGTCTTGAAGCCCAGACCGATGTTTTTGTAGTATCGCGGTAGCTTCTCCTTGCCAGTTTCTCCAAGCAGGACCCTCTTCTTATTTTGAAAGATGGTGGGCTGCTTTTGGTAGGCACGCTCCGTCTGCAGGGACGAGGAAGCTGGTGAGCCTGGACCAGGCTGCCACCGGGCTTGGAAAGCTTCCCAGAAACCCCCAGGTCCCATCCTCTGCGACGCTGGCCTCTGTGGCCCACTGCCCCAGAATTACCTCCCGAAACGCTTACCCCAAATTTACCTCTAATTCAAATTCAGCGCTAAATCCCAGGTTATTTCCATATTTAAGCTCTACAACACTTCCCCATCGCCTTGCAGAGTTCACTCTTTACAGCCCGGAGTCACAATCATAGCTCAAACACCCCGGACACCTTTCAGCAAGGATTATCCCACAAAACACAGACATATCCGTCCAGAATTCACTTTTTATATAATATATAAGACTTCCGAGTGCGGAGCTTCCAGGGTTTAAGTGACGCTAATCTAGATACGGCAAAGACACACGTCTTCTGCCCGAATTCACCCCCGGGAAATCCAGGGCGCCCGGAATTAACCCCCAGATTGGGGCGCGGGATCTTGTTCTCCAGGATACGCCCCCGGGGCCCGGAAAAGGCCAGGCCACCACAGTACGGGGCCTCTGCTTGTACCTGAATGTCCGCCATCTTCGCGGCCGCCTGAAAAAAAGGAAGCCGTGGTAGCGTCCGGGTTTCCTTATCGACTGCGCAGGGGCTAGAGAGGAAGTGACGAATACAGGCTAGAGGGACAGTACAATTAGGGGCGGTGCCTTGGGCACAACTTTGACCTAAGGAGGGCCCTAATGAAGCACGTGACTAGGAGACTGTACGGACCCCGCCATAATGGCAGAGGACAAAGGGGCGGGAGGAGGTAAATATTGTCTCGCGATAGTCCCGACTTCCGAACGCTGGGCCTGCTAGTTCATACTAGGGAGGCGTGGCCAGCCTTCAGCCCTACGATATCGCGAGAGTTAGAGGGAGCAGGTCTTCTCCCTACGGGCCGTAACATCACGTGGGCATGGTGGGCCGCGTGGCGGTATCCGTACAGATTGCAAACGGAATACGGTGGCTGCCATCTTCCGCGGGGGTGGGGGGGGAGGTTGCGCGCGACCGGGAAATCATAGGAGCCCGCGCACTGGGGTCGCCATCTTTGCGAGGGGCGGGGCCTGCCCTGGAGCCTTTTTGAAGTTCAATGAAAGTTGTTTTATCTGTCCCATTTTATCCCCAGACGATGGAGTAGTGAAAAAGAAAAAAAAAAAGCCCTTCTGCTGGTTCTCTGTAAACACGTGGCCCAATAGAACTTGCAGCTATAACGTAAATGTCTGTTCCTATTCTGAGCAACACGGTAGCCACTGAGGACTTGAATTTTTCACTTTAACTTTATTAGATTTAAAATTTCGTGACCACACTGGGCTAACGTCTACCGCGTACGGCAGTGCAAAGTATATGAAGTATAAATGCTACAAACACAATAAGTTATTTGAAAGCTTAATTAAAATTCCTTTACACTTCATAGCTTTGTGAATTTCGAATGATACATTTTTTATTGTAGTTTCAGTCCCTGTGGGGATAGCATTAAAGGGGCTTTTCACTTCTTTTTTTTACAGCCTTCTGTACTAGCTCTGTATGGATTTTTTTTTTTTTTTAAGAAAGTAATTTCCAAGCCCTGGCTGGTGTAGCTCAGTGGATTGAGCCCAGGACTGCGAACCAAACAGCCGTGGTTTGATTCCCAGTCGGCACATGCCCGGGTTGCAGGCCAGTTCCCAGTGGGGGGCGCAGGAGAGGCAACCATACATTAATATTTGTCTCCCTCTCTCCCTCCCTTCCCCTCTCTCTAAAAATAAATAAATAAAATCTTTAAAGTTAAAAAAAAATAAACCCCACAGGAATTAAGTGTGAAAATCCACGGTCTAAAAAATTATAATAATTTCCAGAATTTTTGAATGACTTGGAAAGGATTTATGATATTAGATGTTTTTAGAAGTCGGGACCACAGTTGTTATTTACAATGTATGCCAACCTATGAGAAAAAAGCAAGCCTGGAAGACAACACTTACCCCAGTGGTTTGCAGTTGCAGGAGGTGGGATTAGGTGTGATTTCCTCTCTGGGTTTTGAAATGCTCGCTCGACATTTTGCAAATTGTTCAGAGCAGCTGATGAGATTTCCATGATAAGGGGACAGAAATACTGCTTCACTTTGAAAGGGTGGGGCAATTTAGAGATGTTTAGATCCTTAGCTTGTTCATCACAACTCACAATAGTAAATAACAGTCTACATTTTCATCAAAGACCTTTCTCCCCAGGTTTTTTGTCTCTCCCTTTCCTTCCTCCCTTAATACACTTTTTTTGGTTTTCATTTGTATTCCATTTTATTTATTTATTTTATGGATGGGTCGATTTTTTTTTTTTTGGACCTGCATTGTGAATAGACTTGGTGTCCAATAACAAACTTCAGCCAACTCTGGTTATTACCTTTTTTTTTTTTTTTAGTTTTTAGATTTTCAGAGAGGAAGGGAGGGAGAAAGAGAGGGAGAGAAACAGCAATGTGCGAGAGATACACGGATCGATTGCTTCTTGCGCGCCCCCCACCATGGACCTGGCTCGTAACCCAGGCCTGCGTCCTGACTGGGAATCAAACTGGCCACCTTTTGGTTCGCACGCCCACACTCAGTCCACTGAGCCACACCAGCCAGGGCTAGTTATAACCTCCTAATTAGGGAATATTTCCCAGTCTCTGCCAGATTTCACAGACATTGTTTCCAAGCATTTCATAACAGAAATGCAAATGCTAGTAGACCTGGAGACATTCCTGGTAAGCACAGGAATACCTGTCAAGACAAGACCCTCTCCAGTGACACTCCCTCGGACTGGATGGGCACGCCCAAGTGCTGCCCGGGCGAGGAATTGGGCAAGATGGAACCAGAGCTTTGAAAATGTTCCTGCTGCCCTGGCTGGTTTTTCTCCTTATTACTGAATTTTAAGACATAAGTCCTTCAAAAGGGAAATGATTTGCAAATATTTTTTCTGTGATTTGTCATCTTTTTTTTTTTTTTTTTTAAGATTTTATTTATTTGTTTTTAGAGAGGGGTAAGAGAAGTTGAGAAGTATCAATGTGTGGTTGCCTCTCACGCACCCCATGCTGGGGATCTGGCCCGCGACCCAGGCACGTGTCCTGACTGGGAATTAAACTGGTGACCCTTTGGTTCGCAGCCCTCGCTCAATCCACTAAGCTACACCAGCCAGGGAATCATCTTCTTCGTGATTTATCTTTTTGTGTCTGTCTTCAAGGTTTTGTTCTTATAAAGCCAGATTTATCTTTTTAACAGATCATGCTTTTGGTGGGATTCTTGTGTGCACTGTTTTAACACACTGTTCTGCCAAACTTTAGAATTCAGCCGCAGGTGTCTTCAGTCTCAGGAGCCCCGGGAAGAGTGGGAGCCCAATGCCAGACTGAGAAAACGTAAGCCCTTGGCATCTTGGGACATTTTGGAAAGATTAAGTGTGATAGAATGGCATGGCGCGATAGTTCTAATTTGCCTGTGAACTACCTCAATTTGCTCCCTGGGTTCTAAGATCAGGCACTTGAATATTAAACTGAATTAGGCACCTAACTTCATCAGTGACGTGGGGACAGGCTCTGATGGACATACCAAGGGGTCCTGAAGGGATCTCTGCCTGCTAATATTTACCCATTCTGGGACTGAGAGATCTGTCGTATCTAGTTTTGTCTTAGATACAGTGACATTTAATATCCCACTACGAGTGCTTAACTGCCACTTGCAAAACATTTCTTGCCCACTTTTTAAGAAATCCTCACTTGAGGGTATGTTCACTATTTTAGAGATGGGAGAAATGATACGAGAAATAGCGGTTGTCTCCTGCACGTGCTCTAGGGATCAAACCCACAAGCTCCTGGTGTATTGGAGGACCTGCTGGCGGACCTGCTGGCGACTGCTTTACATAAAACACAGCCCCCTGGTGGGGCAGGGTAAACAGACCATCACAGGAATGGGAATGGCTTTAAACCACTGGCAGTTGCAGTTTGCAGCTATTAGAACAGCTGGAGGTCAATCAGGTGACACCAGCCACCCCAAGCCACAGTGGCCATTGAGGAACACACAGCCCTCTCAAGGAAACTGTGGGTAGGTGAATTTCTCCCAGGGTTTACTCCCCACCCCCCACCCGTGCACAGACCCCGCACACCCAGTTTAAGTGCCCTTTTGATGCCAAGGGCCTGCCTCCACTGCAGACACACACTGCAAAGACGCCAGATTTCTTTAAAATAATTTATTTACGTGTGATCACAAGGTACAGGAGCATGCAAGGGCGACACCTGTGACTCTGAGGCCGAGCACCTCTAAGTGCCCTCAGCCAGCACCGAGTTCGTCCAGTCCCCACACTCGCCCACATCCTAGCAGCTGCAGGGCATGGTGTCTGACCATGTGGGAAGTTCGAGAGTTTTCCAGGTCATCTGTAACTACCGAAAGGGAACTAGCTGTTCCAAGGGTTGGTTTCCCAAAGCTCCTCTGAATGAGTGGGTCACCGGCAAATCACGCTGTACAGCTTTTAGAGCCACATCTGTTTTTTAAAAGGCATTTCGTAAACAGCAGTGACTAAGGCCCCTTCTGTGTTCCCAGCCTTCTAAGGCCCAGGGCGCCAGAGGCCCCAAACAGCCCCTCGGGGTCCCCTACATCCTAGGGCGGCGATGGAGGAAGGGCAGGCCAGGCCAAGTGTGAGGAATTAACAGTCAATTTTATTGGGCTCAGACTAGGAGTCCATGGGTCTTGAGGACCTGTGTGTACGTGTCAATTTTCTTCTCCAAGTTCTTTTCGGCCTGTTTCCGCAGCCTCTGTGGGGTCAGAAGGACAGACCCTGGTCAGCGGCCTTACCTGGGATCCCCCCACCCCAGGGACACAGACCCACTGCCACCTCCAGGCTGGGCCCGAAGCCGAGCCCTCTGGGGGCAAGTAAGACCACTGCCCAGGAGTGTGGTGCCCTGTACCCCCCCGCCCGACCTCACCATGAGCTGCTTTTTCTTCCTGTAATGGATCTTGGCCTTCTCCTTCCTCTTTTCCTCCAGAGTGGCTGTCACTGCCTGGTACTTCCAGCCGACCTCATGGGCCAGGCGCCCTAGGTAGGCAAACTGGGGGGGGGGATGAAGTTGTACAGAACTGAGAGCCTGGGCTGGGGGGAGGGGTTGATACCCTCCTCTCAAAGGATCCTGGGAATTTAACAACCCCATTTTCCTCACTGAGCTCAAATCAGAAGACACCCCCACCCCACCCCCGCAAGGGGCTCTGTGTTCTCCTGGCATCAGCTAAGCCATCGGCATTATCGGCAGCGCCCACAGTGGCATCCGCAGACCATCGTGAGAAAAAGCCATCATCTGCCAGTCTGGGGGACCTCAAATTCACCCCTCAGTGCGACCCCCACGTTAGCCCGCTCACCGTAACCTGGACTCACCTTCCGTGTGGGCTTCAGACGTACCACCTTGAGGGCCGCAGGGACCACCATTCGCTTTTTCTGTTAGAGAAGGAGAGGGGCTTAGGGACCTGGAGTGAGGGACAGACAGGGAAGAAGGCTGGCTGGGGCGGCGTCTCAGCCAGGGCTGTTCTCACGAGGGTCAAACAATGTAGGTAAGCGTGGATCATCACAGACCCGCCAGACTCGGGGCGCCGTGGAGGGGCCAGGGCCAGCCTACCTTGTCATAGGGCGGCGGGATCCCATCAAACACCTTGAGGCGGTCCAAGGCGGCCTGGCCTCGCTTGGTCTTGTGGGGCAGCATACCTGTGTGGAGAGGGGCAGCAACCTCACTGAGGGGCCCGGGAGGAACCCCGCGGAGGTGGGCGGAGGGGTGGCCTCAGATGGTAGTGCATGTAGAGTCATCTCATGGTCAGGAAACTCGAACTTGAGTGGGAGAAGTCCTCATCACTGGCCACCCACCACCTCCACCCGCAGCCCCCGGGCCCAGTTTACCTCGCACGGTTCGCCAAAAGATGCGGCTGGGGGCTCGAAAGTGGTAAGGACCGCGAGACGGGTTGGTGTTCATCCGCTTCCGGAGGAAGGCCAGGTACTTCACTGAGGAGAGGGGTGAGCGTGAGGCTTTGGGGTCTCCGGGCAAATGCTAGTCTCTTCCAACACACGCCCTGCTCCCAGGGCCTACTACTCCGAGACTCAAACTAGCACCTCCGAGCACTGGGGAGACGGCTGTCTGTCTGAGCCTCTCACGGGTCAACCCTCTGGCCCACCTCCCATGCCTAAACTTACGTTTGTTTCTGTAGAAGTTGCCAGAAATGTTGATGCCCTCACAGCGCACCACCACCACCTTCCGGCCTAGAGGGGAAGGAAGAGAGTGAGGCAGTCTGGTAGGCACAGCGCAGGGAGCCCCCCAAGGACTCTTCCTACACCTGACTGCCACCCACCCACCCAGCTACCTGGGAGGAACTGGAACGGGGAGGACCTGACCACTAAGCCAAGAAAGCCAACGGCCCACCTGGGCAGCTTCTTACCCTGGGCCACAGAGCAGTAACTTGCAGAGCTGGGTTCATGCTTAAATAAACTACCAGCCCAACAGAAACAATTTGACCGCAGACTCCCAACCCCAGGGGAGGGAGTGGGTGGCAGGTCTCAGAGCGGTGCATGGGGTTGATCTCATGGCCTTGAGACTCAAACGAAAGATGGTGATTGCTGCTCATCACTGACCTCCAGTTGGAATTTGTATCTGGGAAGCTGTAGGCAGAGGGCAGACTTACCCAGCAGCACCTGCTTGGCCACGATGGCCGCCAGGCGGCCCAGGAGATGGCCTCGGCCATCGAGCACCAGGACCTGTAGAAGAGAAGAGGACTCAGAGTCACACAGGGCTTTCTGATGCCCTACCCCAGGCAACCACAGCTTTCCAATAGTTTGTTTCACCTTATCCCCAGGTACCACCTCTAACCAGGTACCAAACCTCAATACTAGGACCCAAGGCTCACTTTACAGATGAGGCCAAAAAAGCAAATGGTTGACTCCTGATTTCAATGAACAGGGTAAGGGCTCCGCTCACATCTCGGCTGCGTGAAGGGCTGGAATTTTTATGCCCAGATTATGACTTCTTCATCAAAAGTCCCCACTCTTATGGAGGGCTGGTTATATACGCTGGGATTGTTGGAAGGCGGAATGGTACATAATCTAAAGCCAGACTTCCTGACCATGTGATCTGGGGCAAAGATCTGCAGTTCTCCGTGCTTCCAACTTCCTCACCTGGAATCCTCACCTGGAAGATGAGGATAACAAATGTCTGCCTCAGAAACACTGTTTTCATTATCTTAAGCTACAGGGCATACAATCCAAACTGTGCCAAGCACAGTTACTGCGGGAAATGGTCTGAGAACGCTATCACTTGGCTTTCCTTCCTCAACTGCGCTCCTACTGCATGAGGTACATGAAGAACCCCCGCCTCCACTCCAGTCTTCCCTCACATAAACTGACGCCGCCTTCCTTAAAGGCAAAGTGTTTAAGGACAAAGGATGTCCCAGGGCTGTGGGGCCTTTATCACAGTCCTGTTCCCAGCAGCGACAGAGCCTCGAAGCATCCATCAAACTCAAAGCAAAGGAATAAGATGATTTGTTTCTGAATGCTGCGTAGTCAGGAGCCCTATTAACCCACTGCAAAATATTTCATGCCCAAACTCCCAGAGATGCAGGGGAAGCCTGATTAGTACTCCGAGAGAGCAGAGCAAGGCTACTGTGGGCAGAGGAAGAATACCCTCCATTTTGATCAATCCTTGGCTTCCACGTGCTTCCCCATCGCTGGAAATACACGGGTCCAATTCAGCCAAGGACCGGCCAAAATCAAAGCCGACGAGGCGTAGCTTTTAAACTTGTCCTTCCTGGGCTGAAAGTCCGCATCATCGCTTCTCGGGGATGTACGAAACCGCCTTTACCTGACCCTGGGCACGAAGTCACAATTGTCATCTCTCATTTCCCCTTTACAGAAGTTTCTCAACCCTTTTACTTTTCTTTTTCTTCAACTACCGAGCTGAAGTTCCACTACATTCGTAGGAAGGGAAAATGGGGCCAGTCCCGTTCTAGCCTCGAACCCACCCGGTCCCTCGCCCCGCCGGCCCGCGCGGAGCCCCACCTGCCCCTCCGCCATCTTCGGCAGCCGCCTGGGAAAGGAAGAAAACTTGGCGCAGGGTTTCTTATCCCTTGAAACAGGGGCGGAGGACCGGACGTCACTGGGACCACGTGAATGGCTTTCTGTCATCTCATTGGTGAGAATGTCGTGCGCATGCGTGTGGAGGTCCCACTGGAAGGCGGGTCGTGTTCTGATTGTCCAATCCAGAAATCGTTCTCCAAGGACCTCGGCCGCCATCATTGTGCGGGGCGAGAGTTCACGTGGGCGGGGAGGGGACTCTGCCGCGGCGGTGCCGTCCGGCCTTGGCCGCCATATTTTGGAGGGACTGCTAATCTCCCTCCTGTCGACTGCGCGACTCGGTGGGGAAGCGCCTAAACCCCCTCAAGCGACAGCAGGCTTTCAGGCACGTGGTGGCCCGTGCCTCCTACGAGGTCCCGAAGTGCTCCCCGGGTCAGACAGAACGCGTTTCAACCTGTCCTGGGGCTGTCTGTGTCCCGTGTGGCCTTCTCCATTGAGAAGGTTCTGGGCTGGTTCCGACTCGGGGCCCAGGGTTGCCTCGCACTTGTCCCTGGGCCTCCGGAGGCCTCGGAAAACAGGTAGTGAACGAAACACTGCATTAACCGGGAACACCGAGACTCCAACCCACCCACAGACAGGCCCGACCAGAACTGGTAGAAAAAAGATGATTTATGTACAATTTCCTGGGGACAAGGGCTATGTACAGAGGGCAGCGGGTGGGGCGGGGGCGGGCGCCGGCTGCTGCTGTTGCCTCCATCCTGGGGAGATAGTGGCAGGGGCAGCGCTGCCGAGAAAGGGACCAGTCTCTAGCTGACTCGCTCCGAGTCCCGGCTCTGTGTCCTCTGGCAGGTGACTTCGCTCTCTGGGCCTCAGTGTCCTCTGTAAAATGGGATGATAGATGTGTCCTCATGTGTCTGTCTCCCTGGGCTGTGGGAGGGGGGTCCGTGGACAGGGGACGGGGGAAGCAGCGAGCTCAAGGCCTTCGCGGACTTCGTGCGCAGGACAGGACAAATCCAAGCCCAGCCAGCCCTCAGGTTAGATCCCCTGGTCATAAACGTGGTAGGTCTGAGCTCTGAGCTCGCCAGCACAGCCCCGATCGCGGCTGTGAGAGACAGCCGAACCCCCTAGCCCTCCCTAGACGTGGCTAGGGCATTCGAGCTTTTCACTTTAACCTAATTTTAACTTCCTAGTATGGTTACTGTGAGGGTGACAGGTGGCCGGCGACAAGCTGGAAAGAAAACGTCCGGATGTATTATTTTCAAGGAAAATTTGTAGCCCTGGCCGGGTGGTTTAGTTGGTGGGAGTATCGCCCCATACACCAAAAGGTTGCGGGTTCAGTCCCGGATTGGGGTGCGTGTGGGAGGCAACCGATTGACGTTTCCCTCTCACATCAGTGTCCCTCCTCCCCTCAAGTCAGTAAACATATCCTCAGGTGAGCATTAAAAAAAGAAAAATACCGTTCCAAAACAAGTGCTGACCTGAAAAAAATCATTAAATTTAGAAGCTGGTCCTCGATCCAGTTACTGGAAAACTGTGTTTGAAACAACCCGGGCAGGCGAATCTGCTTTTGCTAATGTGTGTCATGAAATCTCAGTGCGGATGCAACATTTCTGATAAAAACAGTTTCTGAATTGAGACGTGCTATGACGGTAGCTGGCGCACTGTACGCTGAAGGCTTAGTATGGAAAAAAGGGTGTAAAATATACCGTGAATCTTTTTAAAGATTTTATTTATTTATTTTTTAGAGAGCGGGGAAGGGAAAGATCAATGTGTGGTTGTCTCTTGCGCGCCCCCTACTGGGGACCTGGCCTCACCCAGGCATGTGCCCTGACAGGGAATGGAACCGGTGACCCTTTGGTTCCCAGTCCACTGAGCCATACCAGCCAGGGGTAATAGTTGTTTTTTGTTTTTGTTTTTTTTTAAATACTGGTTATACCCTGGCCGGGTGGCTTGGTTGATTGGGCATCGTCCTGATGCCCAAAAGGTTGTGGGCTTGATCCCTGGTTGGGGCACACAGGGGAGGCGATCAATCCATGTTTCCTTTCCACATCCATGCTTTTCTCTCTCTCTCTCTCTCTCTCTCTCTCTCTCTCTCTCTCTTTCCATGAAATCAATAAACGTCCTCATCCTTGGAGAGGATTTTAAAAAGTATATTGATTACATGTTGAAATCTTTTGGATACAGAGTATGAAATAGAATACATTATTTAAAGTAACCTGGCCAGTGTGGCTCAAGCACCAGCCTGTGAAGCAAAGGGTCATTGGTTCGATTACCACTCAGGGCACATGCCTGGGTTGCAAGCCAGGTCCCCAGTAGGGGGCGCATGAGGGGAAACCACACATTGATGTTTTTCTCCCTCTCTCCCCTTCTCTCTAAAAGTAAAAAATAAAATCCTTTCCAAAAAAAGCAGCTGGTTTCTTTTAACATTTTCTTGCATGTGATATTAGAAAATGTAAAATCGCGTGTGGCTTGTGGTCTGTTTCCATTGGACCACGACCCACTAGGGCTTTACCTGTGCTACTTCTCTTTACCTCTGCACAGCTGGATGGTAGAGAGACTAGTATTAGTCTTTCGTACAGATAAGGAAATCGAGGCCGAAGAGTAAAAGGCCCAGATGCCAGAACCAGAGAGCCCAGAGTCAAACCTCAGCTCTGCTGCTCACGAGCTGTGTGACTTTCAGCAAAGTATTTACCTCTCTGTGCCTTGGTTTCAGCCTCAGCGAAATGAGCATGATAATGACACCCGCTTCTCAATGAAGTGAGTGAATCTGTGGAAAGCCTGGGCACAAGGCCCGTGTCCCTGAGGCACTGATGGGAAAGTGATTATTGCAGAATGTTTCTGGTTAGATTCCTCTGGGACCCCAGCAGAGTCTCCCTTCCAGCCCCCCACCTCCTCCCCCCGCACCCGGTCCCACATTCTCTCCTCCATCACACGGGCCCCGTTTCTCGAGGCCACATGGGCAGGCAGTCCCGGCTCCCTTGCCTGGGTTTCTCTGTGGCATTTTTCAAGCCCCAACTTATAACGACCCCAGACTGGCCGGAGTTCCTGGGACACCCTGATATTTCCCACACCAGGAGGGCTCTGCACAGGTGGCCCCCTCCCCTGCTCCAGGAAACCACTGTCCCCAGGCTTGCAGGATCCTGCATCCAAATATCTCCCTGGTCTGCAGGTCCCCACTGAGTTCATTGTCTTTCTCTAGTCTCCCTCCTTCCGGGGCTCCCCACCGTAGACCCAGTCAGGGGGCCAGACCCAGGGTCATCTCTGCCACCCCCCCCAAGCCTGTCAGCTTCCAGCCCTGTCCCTTCTGATCCCTGACTCTGCCCCTCCCTCTCCTCCATCCCCTTGGCTCAGCCCTTGCCCTCTCTCCCTGGGCCCTCTCCCAACCTCCTGTTTGGCCTCCAGTCTCTCTCTTCCAGTCTGTCCCCCTCATGGCCCCAGAGGAGACTTCTGCATCCGGAGCTGACCCCTCCCTTCCCCTGCTCCCAGCCTTCCAGGCACAAAGTCCAAGGTCCTCAGTTTGAGGAAGACTCCGCAAGATGAGTCGGTGCTCCTGGGGACTGGAGGTGGGGCCGCCTGCGGCCCCTGGGGGTCAGTCACCCCTCAGCCCTCCCCAGCCCCTGCCGGCTCACCTGCTCCCCAGGGTAGGGCGTCCTCCACCTTCTCCTTCGCCAGTCCAGGCACCAGACGGCGGCCACCAGCAGGAGGGCCAGGGGTGGCAGCAGCAGCAGAAGCAGGAGTAGCAGAGGGGCCTGAGCGGCCGGCAGGGCTGTGGCCTCCAAGGCCTTGGGACTCCTGGAGGGCAGCAGGGTGGAGGAGTCTGCGGGGTGACCGAGGAGGAGGGTCAGGCCGGGGAAAGGCCGGGACAGTTCTTATCCCTGCGCCCTAAGGCTGTCGCAGGAATTAAATGAATGCGTATACGAAAAGAGCTGGGGACAGTGTCTGACACACAGACAGATCACATATGGACGGATGAACATTAGAATGGAACAAATGTTTCTAGTGCTTCTGGGTGGTTTGGTTTACTCCTCTTCTTGCCCTAATAGTCCGTGAGCTGCATGTGGGTGACAGGCTCTTTTTTTTAAGTTAGACAACTTTTTTTTTTTAATTTTTGATTTTTAGAGAGAGGAAGGCTAGGGGAGAGAGAGAGATTGAACCCACAAGCTTAGCATATGGAGACAACACCCAGACAGGTAAAAGAAAAAAAAATTTTTTTGCCCTGGCTGGTGTGGCTCAATGCACTTGAGCGCCAGCCTGCAAACCTAAGGGTCACCGGTTCGATCCCCAGTCAGGGCACATGCCTGGGTTGCAGGCCGGGTCACCAGTAGGGGGTGCGCAAGAGGCATACATGCGTGGATGTCCCTCTCCTCTTTCTCCCTTTCTTCCCCTCTATAAAAATAAATAACTTTTTTTAAAAATGAAAGAAAAAAGTATGACATATTTAAACAAATGTGAGTGAGAAAGATCAGAAATCCGGGGATAAATTGAGGGAAATCTACTTGGGGTGAGAGTTTTTAAAAAGATCCTCTCAGAACTTGACAGATCGAGGGACACACTTGACAAGGATGAAAGACTCCGATAACATCATGACAAGGTGGCTAGAATATAAAAAACTCAAATAACTCTCCCAGTCAGGCCTGGAGGGTCGCATGAGCGGCAACCACACATCGATGTTTCTCTCCCTCTCCTTCCCCTCCCCTCTCTCTAAAATGAATAAATACCATATTTTTTGGAGTATAAGACGCACCCCCCCAATCTGGGAGTAAAGGGGGTACGTATTATAGTCGCATGTAGCTTACCTGGCTCACTGTGGGGGGGGGTGGGGGGGCAGCGGCCTATGTTATTTATGTTATTAAATATTTTACCACATTTTTTTGCTTCAAAGTTTTTTTCCTGTTTTCTTCTAAAACTTAAGTGCGTCTTATAGTCCAGTGCATCTTACAGTCCTCCCCCCAAAATCGGTAAATAAAATATTTTTTAAAAAGTCACAAGGGACAATTAAAAAAAAATCTTGAATCAGAGTGAATTTACCTTTTTTCTCTTTAACTAAAAAAAAAATGGCTACTAGGAGGTTTACATGTAAACATGCCACTTTGCATAGACGGTGTTTCTGCGGCCTGGTCCTGCTATAGACACACAGGCAGGGATTGCTGGCCCTCCTCAGAGGTGGGTAAACTGAGGCCCGGAAAGGGGCACGAACTTGAGGGAACATGCCCCCAATCCCGCAGCCCAGCAGAACAGGTGGGGGGAGGGGCGGGGGCGGGGTCTGAGACACTGCACAGGGGTGCCAGGGCTGTGAGGGCGGGAGGGGGTGGCTGGGAGCCTTTACCCGGCTGACACCGCAGCTCCAGGCAGCCAGAGAAATTCCAGCGGGTGATCCAGGGCTTCAGGGCCACCAGCTGCTCGGAGGTGTCCTGCAGGAGGTGGGAGATGTTGGTCTGGACGTAGCGAAGACAGCTGGGGATGGGCTGGGGGCAGGGGAGGGAGACGTCACCACGGCATCAGTCCTTGCCTCCCCTCAGGTCAAGGGCCTTCCCTGCCCAGCAACCGGGAGCAGGGAGGCCTGGGTCTCAGAGGGAGAGTTCAGACCTCGGCTCCCCCTGGTTGCTAAGGAGAAGCATCCTTAGCAACACTCAGCAACGGGACCCAGGGAGGCCCCGTCTAGAGGGTATTTAGATCCCCTCCTTCTCCTGGTTGCTAGGGGAGAGAATCCCTTAGCAACGCCCCGCAACCGGGCCTGAGGAATAAACTCAGCGTCGGTGGACTGGGCCCAGACCCCTCAGCACCCCCTGGTGCCGAGATGTGTCATTGCCCAGCAAGCAACGGCCCGAGAGCCTGCGGCCCCAGCTCCACCCTGGAGTTGCTCCGATCAAAAGCAATCTCCATACAGGAACAAGTATAAAGGACACACGGACAAAAACTACGGGGTAGGGTGGAAACGGGAGGGAGGTGGGGAAGGCTGGGGGGGGGGGTGAGCTGGGATGGGAGTAAAGACAGGAAACTACTTGAACAATTAAAAATTGAAAATTAGCCCTGGTTCGCGTAGCTCAGTGGATTGAGCTTTGGCCTGCGAACCAAAGGATTGCGGTTTGATTCCCAGTCAGGGCACATGCCTGGGTTGCAGGCCAGTTCCCAGCAGGGGACGCACAAGAGGCAACCACACATGGATATTTCTCTCCCTCTCTCCTTCCCTTCCCCTCTAAAGATAAATAAATAAAGTCTTTTAAAAACTTTAAAAAGCAATCTTTAGTAATAAGGCTGAGCTTCGTTTCCCATTCCCGAGGAAGGAATCTCACCCCCCCCACTTGCCCCCCAAGTTCAGGGCTGACCTGGAGGGCACATGAGGTGACAAAGTATATCTCAGTGTTGACATCCTCCAGCAGCTGTTGCATCTGGGACCCGGCTACTGTCTTGAGCCGTTCCATGCAGCGCTGGGCCAGAACGAGGCGCCAGAAGGCCCAGCAGAGCTTGTCCTGGGGAGAGACAGCCAGAGCCCTGGGTCCCTCCTCCCGCAGAGCGACCCAGAGGGGCTGGGGATCGAGGGAAGAGGGGCAGGGGCATGGTCCTTTGAGGGACGGTACATCCAGAGTCTCTTTCTCACGTCCATCCCTGGCCCCGCCCGTCTGGGACTCACGTCGTGCAGGTTGGTGGCCACAGTGACGGGGTAATCTTCGAGCAGGTAGTCGGACTGCGGGAGAAAATGGGTTCAGGTTGGGCTGCCGGCGGGAGGAAAGAGACCTACGGGGAGAGAGGCCCAGGGAGGCGCGGACACAGGGAACAGAACGGGCGGGAGCTCAGACTCAGCTACTGAACCGCCGGCTCCGAAGGGCCAGCAGGAGAGGGCGGAGCAGGGCGCTCACCAACTTGCGGATGGTGTCAGCGAAGGTGGAGGAGATGGGGCTGTGGGGGAAGGTGCAGTCTGGGGTCCTGCAGAAGCCTGGGCTCAGCAGCAACAGTAGCAGCAGGGGGGTCTGTGGGGAAGGGGCGCCTCTGTTGGCTCCGCACCACTTCCCGAGGCGCCCCCAGCCCCTCTTCCCCTCTCTGCTTTCCCTCAGTTTAGGTCATCACTGCAATCTGGCTCACACCTGCCCACCTCTGGCCCCTGGCCCTGTCTTTCTCTCTGCTTCTGCCCCACACTGTCCAGTTCTCAGTCCCCTTTGCCCCAACCTCTCTCTGGTTCTCCCATCCCAGTCATCTCCCCCACCTGTTCATCTCCCCACCTCTGTCTGCGGCTCCAAACCCTGCCCACCTTCCCTCCACCCCCGCCCATCTCCCTCCACCCCTGCCCACCTTCCCTCCGCCTCTGCAAGTCCCCACCTGTCTGCCCATCATGACACAGCCCCCTGCCCCCACCTTGTCCCTCTGGTATACGCACAGCTGGGCTCCAGGCTGGTGCCAACACTGTCATCTCCGCCGGACGCCCCTCATGCCTGTAGCCAGATCTTGGAAGGGACAGAAGAACAGGTCTCGGTCCCCCACACCCCAGCCCTTTCCTCGCCCGCCCCTTCACCTCCCCGCCCCTCCCTCGGCCCCTTGATGTGGCTAAGTTTCCGCCTCCTTCTCCGTCGGGTTTCCTGCGAGCGCTCCAGTTACAGAGAGAACTCATCTCCCTTTCTAAGAACCCTGACGTCCGATCCCTGGAACCCTCCCCAGGGACCCGACCCCGTCTCCTCCTCCCTCAGCCCCAGGAGGGGCGCCCCCTTCTTGCCCCTGAAGCACCCAGTGCCCATGTCTCCTCCCGCACCAGGCTTGCCCAGGCTGGGTGTGGAAGGGGACAGGCCGGGTGACACCGGGAGAACGAAAGTGAAAGAAAATTTTGGAGGGGGTATTGAATTGGGGTGGCTCTGTCTGGGGCCAGGGGCGCCACCTGGTGGTGGCAGGTGGCAGCTCACGCCCCCAAAGGGTGCTGGCCCCGGAGGGCTGAGGGTGGGCCCGTGCGCCCCTTGGGACAGACGGAACGAGGGGCTGGGTCTGGAGCCGGGATCCGTCTACAACCAGAACCAAAGGACACGGCGCGGGGAGGAGGCCTCCCTGAGCCTTTCACCTTCGCCGTGAACCTCAACTCTCCCCGTGCTCCATCTTCTGCATCAGGATGCTGGGGCCCACAGCCTTGGTGGGGGGCTCGCGACTCTTGGCCTCTCACCGCCCACGCAGTCCAGTCCGTCAGCAGATTTCTTGGCTGGTTGTCAAAATGCATCCAGAGTCCGTCCAATCGCTTCTCCCCACCCCCACCCCCACCCAGGGGTCTGCCATCGCCAGCTCCCACCTGAACACCACTGTGGACCCCCTCCCCCGCGCCCCACTTCGGTCGGTTCCCGTGAAGACCTAAATCAGCGCGCATTCTCCCTCTGCTTCCTGCCACTCAGATGAAAGGCCCAAGTCCTCACTGTGGCCCACACAGGCCTCCCAGTTCCCTCCCAGCCTCCGCGTTCCAGCTCTGCCTGGCTGCCTGGGACAGCACACTCCTGCCCCAGGGCCTTTGCACTCACCGGCGGCAGATCCTTCAGCCTGAATGCCCTCCCCCCAGCCATCCGCGCGGCTTCTCCCCCATCTCATTCCCCGGCCTTTGCAAACGCACAGCCTTCCGCCCTTACTGCTTTTCAGATTGTACCCCCGCTTTGCTCTCTCCCTCATCACTTATCACCTTGGGGCACACCGTGCACTTTCCTTATCACCTTCCTTGGTGGTGGCCCCCACCGGGAGGTCAGCTGCAGGCCTATGGCCGGCGTCTGTTTACCCTGCTGGGTGGGTCTCCAGCACCTTTAATTGTACTTGACCCAGAGCACGTGCTCAGTCGGTATCTGTTAGATAAGCACGTGGATCCCAGCCTCTTTTCCTTCTTCATTATTGCATGAAACCGGAGGCATCCGGCCTCCGTCTCAGTTTCCTGGGAGACAACCGCTAAGTCCCTGGGCATTTCCTGGAGGAGTGAAGGGAGCGTCTTTGTTATTCACCACGGGCCCCCTGAGCTCACCTGAGCTTAGGTTAATGAAAAGACTGGAGATGGGGGGCGTGGCTGGTCAACCCAGAAAGACCAATCCCAAGGTTAGAGCGTTGGCGCTTTGAGACACAGCATACCAGCCTAACCTGCCAACCTCCCACCTGCGGGGTGTGGGGGAAGGGAGGGGGGAGGCAGGGGAGGGAGAAGAGGGGAGGGGTGCTAGACACTGACCTCCACCTCCGCTTTTGTGGGCACAGGGCTTTGTCCTCTCCTGTCCCCTGTATGAGGCTGGACATATTAGATTTAGGGCCCATTTGGATGACCCGGGATGATGTTCTCTCAAGATCCTCAACCGCATTATGTCCGCCCAGAGTGTTGTTCCAAATAAGGTCACGCATGTAGGTTCCAGGGGTGAGGATGTGGACGTCCCCTTTGGGGATGACTATGCAACCCAGGACAGTCCCCCCAAAGCCATTGCCCACCTGTGCGCCTTCGCACATGCTGTTCCCTCTGCCTGGGACGCTCTCTGCCATGTGTGTGCATGAGAGACTTGACGAATTTGAGCAAAACTGGTAACTGCTGGGAAGCAGGGTCTCAAATGCCCCTCCGCCACTTTTCTCGCCTAATCAGACCCCCCCCATTGCACGTCCAGACTCAAGGCCATGACTAGTCGTCAGGGCAATGCCAGTCAAAGCAGGTGACAAGTCACGGCACACCTGTTAGAGTGGCCTCTATGAACACGGAAGACAGGAGACCAGTGCTGGGGAGGACTCGGGGAGAGAAGGGGAACCCTCGCGTTGGTGGGAATGTATGTTGGTGCAGTCACTGTGGAAACAGTATGGAGGTTTCTGAAAAAATAAAAACGAGAACAACCTTACGATCAGCGAGTCCACCCCTGGGTATACCGCATTTTGGCACGTATAACGTGTATTGTTTTGTCCAAATTTGGGGGGGGGTGGATAAGAATGTGCATTATATGTGGGTATAAAGGTTCCACGCCACGGATATAACAACAGGTATAACGATCCGTGTGTATAAGGTGCACAAAAATGTGGGTGCCCATTGTATGTGGCAAAATACAGCCTATCCAGAGGAAATGAAATCAGTATCTTTTTCTAAAAGCTTTTATTTATTTATTTGTAGAGAGAGGGGAAGGGAGAAAGAGGGAGAAACAGCAATGTGTGGTTGCCTCTCACATACCCACTACCAGGGACCTGGCCCCGCAACCCAGACATATACCCTGACTGCGAATCAAACCGGCCACCCTGTGGCTCACAGGCCAGCGCTCAATCTGCTGACCTACCTACACCAACCAGGGCTGCAACCAGTCTCTTAAACAGATGTCTTAAACCTGCACTCCCATGTTCACTGGCAGCATTATTCACAAGAGCCAAGACATGGCGACCACCTATGACCCACCACAGCGGGATGGAGAAAGCAGTGGAACGGGGTGGGGGGCGGGGCTTGGCGCGGTGGCAGCGTCATAGCCAATGAGGTGCGTCTGAGGTGCAATGACTGCTCATTGAGGGAAGTAATATATATAATGGAATATTATTCAGCCACAATATGTTGCCAATTAGCCAGCGATCTGCAACCACCTGGGGGTACCTGGAGGACCTTTGGCTGGGGGGCCCGGCCAGAGGAAGACAGACGTGTTCGAGCTCATCCCCGGCACCTGAGGAATTCCCGCTCGTCCCACTGAAGAAGCTTGGCCGCCAGGGGTTGCAGCGGAGGGAAAACGGGAGAGGGGGGTGTTGGGCAAAGGATACACACTTCCACGGCGAAGAGAAGTTCCGGGGATGCGATGAATGGACAGTGTGGTAAACAAACAATATTGTATTGTGTTGCATGCTTGAAAATTGCTAAGAGATTTCACGTGTTCTCGCCACACACACAGGAAGGTGATTGTATGAGCTGATCGGTGTGTCAATGAACTTGATGGTGATAACCATTTCATAATGCATATGCATATGAAATCGTTTTGTGCACCTTAAGAAATGGTGTTGTCACCCTGGCTGGTGTGGCTCAGTGGATTGAGCATCGGCCTGCGAACCAAAGAGTTACAGGTTCGATTCCCAGTGAGGACACATGCTTGGGTTGTGGGCAAGGTCCCTGGTTGCGCGGGGGAACACACAAAAGGCAACCACACATCGTTTCTCTCCCTCTCTTTCTCCTTCCTTTCCCTCTAAAAATAAATAAAATATTTTTTTTAAAAAAAGAAATATACAGGGGAACTGTATAGTTTTATCTGTCAACCATACTCAGTAAAGCTGGGAATAAATCCTCAATGAAGATGGCCTTCCTTGGGAAGATTCCTTCCACCCTTGTTGCTGTGTGTGTGTGTGTGTGTGTGTCTGTCTGTCTGTCTCGCAACTCCCCCCCCCAACTCAGTAGATCGAGTAGATAGGGTGCCTCCTCTGGGCTCCCACAGGGGCCCGAGCTTCCTCTATTATTATAATACATGACACCTTAGCTTTCATCTTTCAACAGAGCTGGACCTACCTCTCTGCTGCTCACAGACCCTCTATGGCTCCCTAGTGCCCTTCGGACAAATTCCCAGCCCCCTGCTGACACCCCGACTAGCTCAATGAAACCCATTTCAGACTTCTTTCTGAATTGAAAGACAGTAAGTACATTTGTGTGGTGTTACTTAAGCGGCTTTGTGGTAACTTGTTACAGCAGCGACAGGAACCGGATACACCTTTCACCCACAAGAACTTTGGCTCCATGAGGCCAGGTTGTCTTGCTCGCGGCTGCCTCCCCAGCACCTAGAGCCAGGGCCTCCTCACAGTAGGCAGCTCAATAGATACTTGTTGACAGACAGGATGGCTGCTTGGATAAGGAGCGCCCACCCTCTGGGCAGACATGATTGGTCCAGAAGTGAAACCTGACCCAGGCTGGCCAATCAGATCCCACCTCCTGGGGATGTGGGGCAAAGGGTGGCCAGTGGTCTGGACTGGTGGTCCAGGGACCTGCCCGCAGTTGGCAATTAACAAGAAGGACATGGAAGCGGCCCATGGAATCTGGGAAGGAGTCATCAAATCACAGATGGTAAGGAGAGAGCCGTCCAGGGACTTTCCTCCGACTCTTGCATTCCTGTGTCTCTTCTGTCCAAACATCCACCTCCTGGGACCGGTAATTGACTCAGCCCAGGAAAGGTCTCAGCCCAGGAAAGGTGCCCTTTCTCATCGGCTCCAAGGCCAAAGCCAACCTTTAACGGCCTGCACTCACTAAGCGCGTCCTATGTACAGCTCACTGGGTCAACCCAACAGGTTGTCACTACCAGCCCAGTTTTACAGATAAGGAAAGGGGGGCTCAGAATGGCCCAGGCGTTTTCCTGAAGTCACGTGGCTACAAAGATTTGAAGGAAGCAGACAGGCAGCTACGGGTCCCGCGAGATCGCATGGCCCACAGAAAGCACGTGCCCTGGCCCTGTGCTCGCGCTCAGGTTCCCAGGACCCCGGGGTCATGCAGCTGCGTATCTTGTCCTGTTTTCTTTTCTCTAAGGTGTCTCTGCAGCCTTCTAAGAAATTTCCTTTTATCCTAAACTAGTGTGAATGTTTTTTTGTTTTTTGGGTTTTTTTTTGCATCAAAAAGAATTCTAGCCCTGGCTGGTGTGGCTCAGTAGGTTGAGTACTGGCCTGTGAACCAAAGGGTTGCTGATGCAATTCCCAGTCAGGGCACGTGCCTGGGTTGCAGGCTGGGTCCCCAGTTAGGAACGTGTGAGAGGCTACCGCACACTGATGTTTCTCTCCCTCCCTTTCTCCCTCCCTTCCCCTTTGTAGGGAAAATGGAGTCAGTCAGGATCCCCCACCTGGATGTCCAGGGTACGAAACACTTAGCAGTGTGCATAGGACCTCGAGGGGGGGGGGCCCACATGCATAAATGACTGAGGGTCAGTACTGGCACCTTGCTGGCTTCCTGTGAATTCAGTGTATGAGGGAGCCGGCACTTTATGCGGTATCACGTGTGGCGGGCAGCCTGTGTGGATTGCTGCCACCCCCCCCCCAAAGGCATGTCAAATATCTCTGGCTCCTCGAATTTCCTTCCATCTGCCTGAATCCCATGTGAATCTGAACAGCTGCAAGATACCCTCTATTTAAAAATAAAAACAAAATCTAAAAAAAAAAAAGAGAAAGAATTCTAGAAGAGTGGTATGCTGGAACAGCTCCTGGGAGCTTTCAA